CGGCTCGAGATGGGGTGCGGGAGCTTCTCCATCTTTGTCCAATTTCATATATCAACTCGCTCAAGACATTCCACACCCAACTCGTGAAAATGCAACTTTATGGGACTCACAATCCGATTTTGGACCATTCATTCCACCCGATACCAGGATGAAGGAAGATCAACCTTCTACAGACGACCTCAGGTATATCGGCCCTCTTGGTTCCGGTAGTGACTTTACTGTGTTCTTGCAAAGGATAGGGGTTAGTTATTCACCCTCCTTTTTTCTTCCGAGTTTCATTTTCATTTTGATAAAAGGTCGCTTCCACCTCCGCAACTTTTTATGAGGCTCCCGGAGACGCGGTTTATCCATATGTGAGGGGTTTTACAAAGCATCTTGGGGGATGTGGATTAACGGAGAGTTGTTTTGTTTTTTTTTGCAGCATTCTATTTATGATTCGATCCCTTTTGTGGAAAGGTTTGTTGATCCTGGATATCACCGTTTCGTATGTTATTATATTCGATGGAGTAACAATTATTTGTACTAATATTTATTTTACAGAATGCAATGTCCAAATTTCTAGGACTAGAAACCCTTCGTTTAGCTGACGCTATTGTTCTTCCCCTAAACACGTCTTATTATGCCCTTGAATTAACAGCATATACCGAACTGTGGGGTTTTCTTAAAAATGATATTTTAAAATTTTCATGATCAGGACTTTTTAGAGTCGCAACTGCCGCGAAAGAACTGAATATCGCTGTCGATCTATCACCCCTTAATGAAGCCATATCTAATCTATATGACGCCACTAAGGAGTTAGAAAAAGGGAAAGAGGATGCTAAGAAAGCATTATTCAAAAGTCTCAAACGGTGGCATAGAAGAAGGCATTTATGTCGTGTAATTTGGGATCGTTTATGCCGTTTGGTGAAACCTTGGTTTGGTTGCGATAATGATGATAAACAAGAAATTGAAGTGAATGTCGAAGAAATGGCTAGCTATGTATTCGAATCCGGACATGGTGTACCTCATGATGTTAAAAAAGCCATCAAACGTATACGGAAAATCAACTCGAAACTATTATCGTTCGAATCAGGATTTATTTCTGAGGAAGGTCTACCTGGACGAACTTGGTACAAGCATTTTGGGGTTGCTCCTGGTAAACGCTTAGGGTATGTATTTTCTTTTTTTTTTTTTAAAGTTGGAAGTATTTGTCGAATTACTTTCTTCTTTATAGGTATGGTGCAACAACGTTCCCCGCTCTTACAGAGTCTATTACGTTGGATAAGAATGCAACGTCGGCTCGGATGGAAATTGAGAGATTATCAAAGTTGATCAATAAGCTTGCGAAACATATATAAAAAAGGCTCGTCTGTATTATAATAATGTCGAAAGTGTACACTCATGTGCATAACTTGATGGAAACAAGACTTGAGTGGTAAAAGACTATAACTTTGAATTGCTCTACTCCATCCCAACCATGTTTCAAAAGGTTCAAAGGATTATCTGTGTTTTTTTACTTGCAACATGTACATGAAGTTCGGGGGGCACAGATGTTGATTCCTGCCTGAGGTTAAAGTACATACCGCGAGTGCAGTGTCCTTTCAACGGCGATGTGTTTCGCTATTTCACTATCACGTCCTTGAACTGTCTTTCCAGCCTTAATAGAGAATATACCAAATATCGTCCATTAATGTTGATCACAACTCATATTATACAATGACTTGTGTCATGCTCCAGCAGCTACAAGTCGTGCGTACATCTAAAACTTTAATTTCCTGCAAATAAGGTGGTGAGATTTACAAATTGGTTCTTTCAAAGGAGTGTAAGGTATGGCTTCTATTTGAAAGATAAATCCTCTTATGATATGGACAAATTCAAATCGGTTCTGCTCCTAAAAGATACAAACGAACATACAGCATATTATAAAAACGGTGTCATCAAAAAGACGAAATAAGAAATAAAAACAACTCGCGAGAGGATTTGCATTCAGCATTGGTTCAAACCAGCACCACAGAATTGAGCGGTAATCAAGTATACAAATACCTATTTCAATAATGTTCAACGGTATATCAAGAGAAAACGGATGAAATAGGGGACGTACCAAAGTGACGGCTCCGGAAAGTGCCAGAATCTTCTGATTTTTCCAAAACATCTTTCTTCTAGCCGCTTTAGCTCCTTTTCTAAAAGCCAAACTTTGACCAGCCATGGAATCCGTCTTGTCAACCAGTAACTCAATCCTTTCTCCTCGAGAAAGGATCTGTTCAACGTTATGTACCATAATATCTTTTACTTGGTTTAACTCGTTTTGAGCTTGTTGAATAGCATCTGCATTTTGAGATGAAGAAGCTCCTCCTGGAGTTTGTTGAGCGTTAAAATCTGTCATTAGTTTGGAAAGGACGGGTCCGAAGGATTGTTGTAGGGCGTGGTCGGAGTCGGGTGGTGTAGGGTGTGCGGCGATGAATTGACGTTGTAAAGTTAGGAGAAAGGCAAATGGTACACGGCTGAATGTACGTAAGTATTTAGAGATCATCAAAAATGAGAAGAGGATGTGGTTGTGAACCGTACCGGCCAAGAGCGTCATCCGCCATGACGAGGTATACAGTACTGTTTTCAGAAACATAATGAAATAGATATTGTTCCCAAACATCTACAAGAGTTATTATCTTCTTTCAATTTTTTGTTTACACAAGAAACAATAAAATGGATATTCACAAGTTAGTTTAGAATTATTTGGTGGGATCTTGGATAAAATTGTATGAACGGCTTTGAATCAGAGTTGAGTTAGGATGTTTCAGAAAACTTTAAATGTCGTTCTTCATACCATGAGAAAAGTTATGATCACCAACCGAAGCCTCGGCCAGTATAGTAGAACTACGAGCGACGACGGCGTGAATGAGCGACATGGTGGAGACAAACCTGTGATGATGATCTAATTGTGACTGTAGTTGTGACGAGTGACAGCTTTACGTAACCAAATTTCCTTTTCGCCAGCGCAACGCAGAGCAACCCACGTTGACAAATTTATTCACCTTCCAACCATGGTCAGTCATTTCATCTTTCTGTTAAAAATGTGTTTTTTTCTTTCTCAATTTATAATTCATTTTAGTCTGATTCGGATACTCCCTCATCACAAGTTAATGGACGTACTACTTCTGTAGCTAAAGCACCTACTGCGATTAGGTGTGTGCTCTTGAACTGGCTGTTTTTACCCATTTTTTGATCGTATTTTTTAATACTAACAGACGTCGTGCGACTGGTAATGCTGTAAACCGACCTAACTCAACACGGGCTGCGGGCGCAGGAGGATCATCCAGCACAATGCTCAAGCTGTACACGGACGATTCGCCAGGTCTCAGAGTGTAAGTTTCTTCCTCAAAAGTTTCAAGATTTCAATTCAGAAAACAGCTCTGACCAAATCCTATTAAGTGATCCTTTCATCGTTCTAGTTCTCTCACTCTCGTTTATTGCGTCAATTTTCTTCCTTCACATTTCTGCTAAAATTATTCGTGCTTTCTCGAAATAAAAAAAGGCTTGCAAAAAAAAAAAACAAGGACGAGAACGAGTTTATATTATTATATCTCGTTATTGTCATTACCTTGACCGTTCGGTTTTTTTTTTGGTCCTTGTCTGTACATACGTTCTTGTATGGTTTCCGTGTTTGGAGCCCCGTAATAATACCTATGCAAGAGCCAAGAATGCAACCTTCGCCCTTGGCTGAGTCTTTTATTACTACTTGGCTTTCAATTCCATTCGTTTGAGATGTACTGCGTACTACAAGTTCACCTCGTCCGGTTGCGCGTGTACTGGACAAACATTATATCCATTCTTTCATTGGACAGTTTATAAATATCACACAACGCATTGACCGCTCAACTTAAATAATCAAATATCAATTCCAAGCACGTTAAAAACGGCAGCCTGAGATCATTGCGCAATGCGTAACTCGCAGTGACTAGTGACTAGTGACATGATGACGAAAGCGGCAGATAACAGCCGAATTTCCCTTATCCCGGAGATCGCCGAGACACCACTGAATATATTCGTCTCTGTTCAAATTCCAAGATCAACTTCTTCCTCCTCCTCCTCAAACAATAACACCTTCTCTTGTTTCTTTCCAACGAGATTTTTCTTTTTTTCTTTTGATTCATAATGTCCTGGCAAGGTATGTAAATACCGCCCATTTGGGTTTTAGGGATATTTTATCGAAAGATAACACCACATCACTCACCCCCTTTTGCTGTATTGTAGCATACGTCGATACCAATCTTCTTGGATCTAATAAGATCTCGAAAGCCGCCATTCTGGGTCAAAAGGGAGGTGTATGGGCAGCGAGTGCTGGATACACGGTAAGCTGAAAAGTTGATCCAACATTTTTGAAAAGGGAGGATGGCTGAATATCCACCTCCGCCAACCCTCCTATCTATTATGGGCACTACATTACTATTACTCCCACCGTCTAGCTTTCACCACAAGAACAATCAGCTATTCTAGCCGCTCATACGAACCCGGATGCTACTCAGGCAAACGGTATCCGTCTATGTAACCAGAAATTCTTTACTTTATCGGTTAACGCTCGATCGGTCTATGGAAAGAAGTCTGTACGTTTGCTTTCCCAACCATTGGAATATACTAGAAACTATGGAGCTCATTTGATTTTAGGCTGAGGGCTGCTTATTAGTCAAGACTAAACAAGCCATTCTCGTAGCTGAATATGGTCCTCCTAATCAACATGCAGAAGTGGCGAAAGTTGTGGAAGGTCTTGCTGATTATCTTATCAGTGTTGGATACTAGTCAAGCAATTGACTGATTGTGTTTTTTTTTTTTTGCTTTTATATCATAACTTGTTTTTTTGTTTCGTCTATCTGTCTATCTATGAATTGATAAAGCTTGAAATGTTATGAGGTGTTTTGAATTTATTTGTAAAAATAACGTGACGGAATATGAACTTTAAAAAGTCGAGAATAGCAACAAAAAAATTCGTTGCAGATAAGGTATTATGAATTCATTGTCAAAAAAGACCTAGCCCGACGTGGGGCTCGAACCCACGGCTGTCAGATTACGGAGAACAAGCCGTAAAAGTCTGACACTCTACCGACTGAGTTAGTCGGGCAACGGCTCTTTCCGGTCTTATAGACCAAACAACCTCAAAACCCCCACACTCCGGCGGATACCCAATCCAAAAGAAAAAAGTCCACACATCATCTATCTCTTAGTAAGATAATATTACGCTAACAAAGTTGAAAGAAAAAAAAATAATCAATAAATAAAAAACGAAGTTACGAGTACGTTAGAGATAACCGGTAGAAGGGGTTTAGTTTTTACACTGGATAATAAAAATTTAGAAATCGTAATCTTGGTTTGGAATTTTCGTATAAACTCCTTCGTTTGCTACCTCAACAGAGTTCAAGTTGAAAGCACCAGTGTTGTATGCAATATATTCCCGATGAAGTTGTTCTTCGTCTTGTAGTTGCTTATCATAACTTCGGATGACAACTGCGACGTCTAAAAATGTGTGGAAATAAATGAATGATGAAAAAGGTTAAAAGTAGCACGGAGGAAATAGTTAAAAACGCACAGATTTGGATAGCAAGTAGAACGAGCGAAACAACGAGAAGAACGACTTTAGCCGCTACCGGGACTGAGATACATTGGAATTCCAATCCGTCGATAACCTCATCATGACATTTTCGGATGAAAAGTGTATAAATGAGGAACACTTCTCCAGCAATTTGGATTATGGTTATAATCCAAACCATCCATGAATATATCCTGACAAGTTTACGATTTCTTTTAGTTGTACCGATTAACCTGATGAAAAGTGGGGGAATGAATGTTTAAAGAGTTCCGAAGAAAAGAAAAAAGCGGTGTAAAACCATACCCAAGCAGTGAGACGATAACAACCAATATAAATATTACAAGAAGGACGACGAGGCCTGCCCTGATATCATGAGGAAGTGAAGACAAAGCAATGTCTTTCTTGTCTAAAAAGAACACATTCTTAGTAACCCAGCAACACACTTTTTACTTCCGGGCACATCTAGCCGGAAACGACGACGGTGCAGACAGCCCTCAGCATGTTTTTTTTTTGTTACGTACCACTTAAAAGGAATATGATACCAACGACCATCGCAACAGAAAGAATCGTTAAAATCAAAGACGTTATAAAACTGCCCACAGAAACCGGTATACAACAACAAAAGTATCGCCTAGAGAGCGAACGGACTTCAGATGGTCTGCTTGACATTGTCGTTGTGATGGGTGTGATTTATTGTTTAAAACGCGTTTCTTTGGGGGAAAAGAAAGAAAGAAAAGAAAGAAAAGAAAAAACGACGTTGAGCTGGGAGAACGAAGGATTAGAAAAAAAGGAAGAGTATAGATGTGCCTTAGAGTGCACTGTTATCGTTCTTATGCTCGATCGGTGGGAAAAGGGCAACGGCCATGCCTTCCCGGCCGATGGGCCCGAAAAGCTGATAATAGGAAGGAAGGACACCAGCTTCCTTCAAGAACAGCCTCATCTCAGCCTCGAGCTCTTTGTGACTTCTTTTTAATACAGATATGGCGTAATAATGAAAATTGATAATAATTATCCAATGACCAACGAAAGGTATTTTGAAACCGGTGCAGGGGATGAACCGAACGAGCACAGGAATCTTTTATTACTTACGTGTACATGTAAGACCGGCGTTAAACTGCCTTGCCAAGGCCGTTAACACCTTAGGAGGAAAAAGAATTGAGGACGTTGCCATGGATTGTGGTAAAGATTTATGATAAAATTTATTTTAATATATCAAGTCTAACATTCTAATCCGACAACAATACACATTATTACAATTTCAATGTAGATGATAAATAAAGAACGAAAAAATGAGCTCTTTCCTTGAATGTGGTACGGCAAGACTAGATATTGTGTTTGTTTGTCGATGAAGATAAAATTACAAAAAACAAAATTGATCCCTCCCCTTCCTTCCAAAAAAAAAATCCAAAATTAACTACTTGTCGGTACAATTTCCAAAAGATCACCTGCATATTGATCAAGAGCCCATATCTTAAATTTATCACTACCCTCCTCTTCAGCAACTTTCCACCATACATTACTAATTCCACGTCCCCAAGCATATAATTCCACATTCCATCCCTTATGAAGAGCAGTTTTAACAGCTCCCAAAAAACCTTCCTCATTGAATTGACCACTTGCACCATCACCCGTAGCTAAGACGATTGTTGAACCTGGTGGTAATGGATCTGCTTCAGGTGAAAGAAGAGCTTGATGTAATTTTAATTGTAAAAGCTCGTCAACGCCTTGTTCTCGGTATCGTATACGAGGTGGAGGAGGAACTAATGCTGGTGTCGTACTTGATAAGGTAGGTAGTGGTAATGTAGTTCCAATGGAAGACATTGAGGAGGTTATCGATACAGGATTAGAACTCGATCGACCATGACCCTGATTACGCCCACGACTAGATGATTGTGATAGTGGTGGAGGAGGAGGAGGAGGATCAATATTCGTACTTCGTCCTTGAAGAACATTCGTCGGACTACCACCACTACTACTATTCCCCCCTAGGGTAACAATAGTCGACTGAGGAACCTTCTTCGGTCTGACATTTTTCAAACCCAACGCTAATGAAGAACCACTCGTACTAGTTTCGCTACGACTAACCGGACTATTATTATTATTATTATCCGTTCCACTGGGTGTATCGGTAGAAATATCAGGAACTCTTGCATAGACGTGTACACCATATCCGAGTTCTTTAACGGATTCCATACTTTGGTATAATGGACTAGAAGCTGCCAAAACTCGTCGGCTGACGGCACGACCACGTTCTAAAATCAGAAGAAGGGCAGGAAAGAACAAATGTGGTTTTGTTCCCTTTGGAGTTCTTTTCATATGATTAAGGAAACCAACCAGTATGTTAGAACTTTATAAAAAAAACAAGGATTCAATAAAAATAGAAAAGGTGAAATTATTTTTTTTAAAAAAAACAAACTTACTGATCGATGAAGACGTGAACTAACGGATCGCCTTGTTGAGGTTCTGGTCCTCTAGGATCTATCCAACTATTTTCGGGTAGATCATCTATTAGTATTTGTCGTAGTGGCATATCGTTTTGGGGAAAGTGATGTCGAAGCTTTCGTGCCAATAATCGAAGACGAACAAGTCGAGGTTCAACCATACTGGGTAACGAACGTGGAAGATTGGGAAGAGAAGATGATATATACAAATCCTGGTGATGATGGTGGTGGTGTGAAGATGATCTGCTGAATCCAGAATGATGAGGAGATAATGGTTGCCGACGTGAATTGATATCGCGGGGTTTAGATAGTGCCGATTCGTTATCCGGAAGACTAATTCCTGTTTTATAAGGTGATGAAAACTCAGCTGACGAAGATGAAGAGGCTTCAGGGGTTGGGACGACGGTAACGGACGGAGCTTCGTCCTGATCAAGGACGCTAGTTGCTTTAGATGTACCCCGTCGTTTCCGACGTCGTCTTTTCTTCGTCTCATCTGAATTATTTTTCCATACGGACGACGTAGTTGTTGTACCCCGTTCTTCGAATGCAGCGGCTAATTTAGCCGATTCAGCAGCTAAAAACCCCAATGTAGAATCTAATACACCCAAAGATGGTGGAGAAGAAACATTGTCATCCAATGTATTGTCAAACATGCCTTCTGTATCTGAAGAATCGGAATCTCTTTGACCATTCCCATTCCCATCATCATCATCATCTATTTCCCTATCAGATATGATAACCGGCGAATGAGGATGTGGAGAATATGGAGCTCCGTGGTGATTGTGATTGTGCTCGAGGTAGGAATCAATAATTCGGTGCGACCATCTACTTGAATCTGAATCATTTTCGGAAGAAGATATAATTCCACGAGATTCTGGACGTGGATCAACAATAAGAGGTTGCTGTTGGAATCCTTGAAGTTGGTTCATCACCCGAAACACAGATGTGAATGCGCCTAAATCGGCAGGTTCTGTTTTAAATATACTCAGCCTTTTATATATATATATATGTATATAAAACAAAGGCTGTACACACCGTCCGAGGTCTGAGTACCATCACTTAGGAGAGAACGACAAGAAAAAGGAGAGAGAGGCGGTTCCGATACGGTATCTGAATGATCATTGAACGTCGCTGCCGCCGCCGCCATTGTTTTTTTTTTTGTTCCTTTGTTTTCTTTTTTGGAATAGAACAGGAAAGAAATTAAAAGTTGGAAGAATTCTTTTTATGCCAAAACAGCGCACGGGACCCACGCAAGAAACGCTGGCTCAGCAAGTAGACAACGAGGCAACAAGCAAGTGACTGTGACTTGTACTTGTACACTGCTGCTAGGGGACAGATAGGTGTTTCGGAGCTTTAACTGATTAAAAGTCAAGGTCCAAGATTAAGTAAGCCACCTGTATCACCACTACGCACTGACTCGGTTGCCTCCTTTTATCTAAGGTTTATATTTTTGACTGTGGAATAAGCTGTTCCTATCTTTTTGGACAGCCATACTAATCAAGCCAGATACTTATCTAATTTTCCCGAGATTGTCAAGCTATGGCCTATCACGAGACCATGGCTTGAGCTTCACATGATTTGTGGGACTGCTTTTGGCCTGAGAGAAAGGTCCCACCACGTCTGTATAGAAATTCAGGACACTCGGACGGTAAAAATTGGAGTCCATGGACGGTATGTAAATGGGTTTACACTGTCTATTATAACACGAATCATTAAAAAAAACCTTAGATACGTTTCTTGATCATTCTCAAACAATCAATCTTTAACCTCATCTCGAGCCAACGTATGTACCATTTTTATCCATCATCATAATAGACTCCGGAAAGTCGTTCACACCAACAGCTCTACCATGAAAATTTAATCGCCCACTCTAAACCAAAAAATACGTAACACTGACAAAATATCAACAGCTACGCCGAAATAGCTTGTACCAGGTTCCTTCCGGGCAATCCCTCCTACGAATACTGGATTTAATGAGAGTCTTTTGAAACGAACTTGTCGGGGTATACAATCTCCGGGTTTGAATACACGATCAGCCATGGTCTCAAAAGTCCACTCATCAACTTGACGAAACCGGATCACATAGTTCCGAAC